ACGAGGACTACAAACAGAAATACCTGTACTCCAGATGTGCCGTGTGCAACACGCAACGCAAGCAGTGTCACAGGCTGCGCCACAGGATGTGCCCTGAGGCCACGAGGCGGCCACGAGGTGGCCGCAGGCGGCGATGCGGCGGGCCCTCGCTATGCGGTGCAGCATACGTGGTGCAAAGTAAGGGGCGGGGACGGGCGACAACGTGGCGAAACCTCGCGAGACCCACTCAGCGCACGAGGCGGCCAAGAAGTGGACACGGGCACACGAGGCGCCCACGACGCGGCAACATGGCGAACCCTCGCAGGACACACCGAGCGCACGTGACGGCCGCGAGGCGGTCATGGGCGGCACCATGGAAATGCCTCGATACACCCCGAGGATGTAGGTTGTTGCGCTGTTGATGTGTGAGCTGTGTAGCGCAACCTTCGTGGTGCAAGCTACGTGGTGCAAGCTACGTGGCGCAAGGGATGTGGTGCAAGCTAGGAGGTGCCAACTACTCCAGATTTCGTAATTTAAGGGAGGGGGTCTCAACCCTTCCAGACAAGCCATTTCAGACCTCCCCCGTGGGAGAACCCTCCAAAACATCGTCCCCAGACCCCCCCAGGCCCTCCAAGATAGCCTGGAAGAGACCCCCCCACCGAAATGAGACCCCCCTCCCTTTATTACGAAATCTGGAGTACACGGTGCAAACTCTGTGGTGCAAGTTCCGCGCCGCGACCTACCTGGTGCACGCTATACGGCGCAAGTTGTGTGGTGCAAGGCATGTCATGCAAGCTACATTGGGCGCCCAGGGGCGGCCGCGGGTCGCCCATCCACCAGCTAGAATCCCGGGGTAAAATTCCCCAGTAGAGCGAGCAAGAACGAAGGATTGCAACGAAGGATTGCAAACAAAAACCAGGATCGAAGGATGGCAAACAAAAAAAACCCGCTCGAGGGTTGTTTTGCAATCCTTCGAGCAAGACCACCGAAGCGCGACCAACGCCTGCGTCATACGGGCTCGCCGACGGCGGCGCGGGCCGCGACGGCGGAGGCCGCCGCCCGAGAGGCCGCCGCCCGAGAGGCCGCCTGCGCCGCGGCGGCGCCGCCCGCGTCCGCCACGGCGGCCAGCAGGTCGAGTGCGGCGCCCAGGTCGGTGCCGCTGGCCTCGCGGGCCGCGGGGGCGGACGCGGCGGCGCGGCGGGGCGTCGCAGTGCGCCTTGGACAACTCCCCAGACCCCCTCGAGTCATGAAAAAATCACGACGGGAGGTTTTTCGCTATTTTCGGCCTCCGGGGGCCCTTACCGGCCCTCAGGACCGTCAAAAAACGACTCAGGATGAAAAGCCGGTCCCGGGGAATGGGTCCGGACCTCTGGGGGTCGCGTTATGAAAAAATCATGACGTCGGAGGTCTGGGTCCGCCGGCCCCCTGGTGGGGCCACCGGGCTGCAGGACAAGTGTGCTGCTCCCTGCGCCAGCTGCAACTTCAAGTATCCAATGTTGCAGTCCTGCTATTCTGCTTCCTGTTATGAATTGGTGAAGTCCGCGCGAGGAGGGGAGCCCCAAACCAGCATTTTACCACGCCCGGATCGCGTTCCCTGCATTCCCGAGGGGGGCGTGGGACACTACAAATACATGCTTTTCGCGTCCTCGAGGCCATACTCCCTCGTAAAGTATGCAATCTTCGCGTCCCCGAGGCCACACACCCTTGTGAACTATGCAATGCGTGCGTCCCCGAGGCAACAAGACTTGTGCAAATAATGCAATATTCGCGTCCCCGAGGCAACAAGTGTTCGAAACTTTCACGAGATCTGCATCCCCGAAGCCCTAAACCTTTGCGAATTACACCGTGTTCGCATTGCCGAGGCCAAGTGTGCCCCAAGGCGCCCGAAGACGGTTGCAAGACGGCCCAAGGGGGCCCAAAGAGGCCCCAAGGGCGCTCCAAGAGGCATCCCAAGAGAGCCCCAAGAGGCCAACATCGCAGATGTTACGCAGGTTTTTGAAGGATTCTGGCCTTCTCGAATACTCCAAGACGGCTCAAGAAGCTCCCAAGACCGCCCCAAGACAGCCCAAGACGCCTCCAAGAGGGCCCTAAGACGGGCAAAGAGGGCTCCAAGATGGCCCAAGAAGCGCTCAAGAAGGCCCAAGAGGGCCCAAGAAGGCTCCAAGAGGGGCCCAAGCAGGGGACCACGAACCGAACATTCAGTATTTGCCCCCCGAAAGGCCGCCAGAAGGCCAAAAGAGGCCAAAAGAGGCCCCAAGAGGCAACAAGAGGCGCCCAAGACGCGCCCAAGAGGCCTCCAAGAGGCTTAAAATATACCCCGCGAGGCCCCAGGGGTCCCCCAAGAGGCGCCCGAACTGCCTCCAAGAGGCCGCGAGAGGGTCCCCACGACACCCCAACACATTATCATACAAGAGGTCTCAGACCCACAACCAAGGCACGGTGGCGGGATGGACAAAAGGCCACTGGGATCCGCCGCCCCTTGTTGGCTTGCCACAGGGGTGCCGGGCGTGCTGGATCCTAGACGATTTGGTTTTGGTTATGTTTGCAAGGATTCTCCCTGGGCCTTCGGCCCGTCCCGCCAGTCACCTGGAGGGCCGCACAATCGCGCACAACTTTCCCCAAACATCTGACAAGACGACCCAAGATGGCCTCCAAGACCGCCAAGATGGCCAAAGATGGCCTCCAAGATGCTTCCAAGATAGCCAAGGTGGCCTCCAAGACGGCTAAGACGGTCCCAAGAAGCCTCCAAGACGGCCCAAGACGGCCCAAGAGGTGCCCAAGAGGCCTCCAAGACGGCCCAAGAGGCCTCCGAGAGGTCCTCCAGGAGGCCCCGAAGAGGCTAAAATCATGAATTTTGAAGGATTCTCGTAGATGCTTCTTTTCGGCCTACCAGCGGCCCGTGACCCAAGAGCCCCCAAAGATCGCTCCAAGATCGCCCAAGAGGCCCCAAAGATGGCCCCAGAACGGCGCAAGAGGCCCCCAAGACGGCCCCACGGCGGCCCAAGAGGCCTCTAAGACGCTCAAGATGGCCTCCAAGACTGCCAAGAGGGCCCCAAGTCGGCCCAGGGAGGCCCCATAAGACGGCTTCCCACGGCGTCAGACGGGCCAGGCGCCCACCAAGACAGCCAAGGAGGGCCCCCGAGAAGACCCCAAAGGCCCCCAAGAGGCCTAAGGAGGCCCCCAAGATGCCTCCAAGAGGCTTCCAGGAAGCTCCCAGGAGGCCCCAAGAGTGTCCAGAGCTCTTGCCACAACGCTCGGCCACATGTCGATGCTAGAAGGCAGGGGGTGGCGGTGATTCGCCGCAGGCGTCTTCGATGACGCCAACGTCTCAGTATGCGCTGATGATTCCGATCCGGTCCCGCATGCTGTTCCCAGAAGCGCCAAAGCAGCGCCGAGACGCACCGACCCGACTCTGATACATCCCATTCTGATAGTGAGGGGGCCGGCGGCAGGGGGCGAAGCCCTCACGGACGGATAAAACGGGCGGCCGGCGCGGTCGCCGACGTTCAGCGCGGAGCCCCCTAGTCGGACACCTTGGGGAGCTGCGCGATAGGGCGCGTAGGTTTATGTGTGTCCCCCTACAGGGGGATTTTCGACGAAAAATGAAAAATATCAGAAACATGCACCAAAAAGGTCAAACAATACTCAAGAAGCTGTCGCCTGACTATTTCTGGAATATTTTTTGATGATTTTTGGGGTAGTTTTTATTTTTCGTCGAAAATCCCCCTGTAGGGGGACAGGCCCGACTCAAAGTTGAGCCTCGTTTGACCGATCCCCATCCCCACCGGCATGGCCTTTGATCCTCTGGCGGACCTGCCTGCCTACGTGGGCAGCAGTGCTTGCGCCTTGCGGCTTCGCGGGCCTATCCACACCTGGGAGGCCGAGGGCGACGCCCGGGTCGGTGCCGCTGGCCCCGCGGGCGAAGGAGCTGGGCGGCGCGGCGGAGGCGGCGGCGGCGGCAGCGACGGTCAGGAGCCTTTGCCTGGCGCGTCGCGACGTCGGCCGCGGCGACACGCCATGCCGTGCGTGCTGAGCCACGTGTTCCTCCGCTCCGCCTGGCGTGCGCCTCCGTTCCACGAGGAACGGGTGGGGCAGAACCAGAGGCACGACACTTTTCGGGTCGCGGCCGCAGGCGAACGCGCAAGCGGCGAGTCGTAAGTCCAGGGCGCGGGCCTACTAATTGACAACAGGAGCAAGCTAGAGCCGCGCACCTAAACTCGGGGGCGGCAAAGAGGGGGGTGTCCAAGAGGGGGGTGCAAATCATGACCGGCCGCACGTGCGCGGCCCAGCGGGGGGGCCAGGGACGCAATGAAACAAGAAGAGGCGCCATGAAAGCTGGGGAAATACCATGGCCCCCGCCATGATCCCCCCCCCCCTAGTCATCACCCCCCTCTTTTCCGTCCCCGATAAACTGCCTAAGCTGCCTAAGCGGCGCCTTCAGTGACCAGAGGCTCGACGCGCCAAGCAGCAACAGTTCCCACGACCGCGGGCAGCCGCATGAGCGGCGAGAAGACCAGGGTCTTGCGCACGATGGCCTGGCGACCTCACGCGGCGACTTGCGCGGGCCGCCAGCGCGGCACGCCACAGAAGAACCGAGGAGAGGGCTTACGATTCACCTTGCGCAAATCGCATGCGCGAAAATATCGGCGCCGATATTTTCGCGTAATCGGCACAATCGAGCCCACTCTGCTGCCTGGCTCCCATTCACCCTGCCAGAGGAACAAGCAACTGCAGTATCACAAACCTTGAGAGCTCCGCGCGGACCTCTTGGATCTGCGTTGGGACCCCCTGGCGGCGCTTCCGACGCCGCTCCTGCCGCGCCCCGCGCGCCAGGAAAGGACGTCTGGGATTCGGCGGCGCGGCGGGGTCGGATTTGGCCAGGGGGAGGTCGGGCATGGCCTCCTGCAGGCGGATTTTGGAGAAAAGATGCAGTTTGGTCTAACGATAATCATCAAAGACAAGTTTTAACATCATGCACATCGCCCCCAGACCAAATCTTTTGACTACTTCTGAACACTCCTCCTGTAGAGGGCCATGCCCGACTCAAGGCCAGGGGGGCGGGCACGCCACGACGGCGGGCGTCCCGGCCCCGGCAGCGGCCCTCCGGCGGCCGCGGCCCGCCGAGGGGGCGTCTCGCCGGGGGGGTACCCCGGGCGAGGCCCGGACGGCCGCAGGGGCGGCAGCAAGGCAGGCACTCCTCGCGGCGGGGGCGCGCAAGGACGAGGGGTTAGGTCGGGCATGTCCTCCTCCCACGGGCGGGTTGCTGGCGGAAGCGTGCAAGAGATAGGCAGGCAATCGCCGAACCTAGCTGACAAATTAGAAAAATGCAGGCAATAGCCGAACATAGCTGAAAAACAAGGAAAATCGTCCCCAGACAAAGGTATGACTCTTTTTGAGTACCCCTCTTGTAGAGGGGCACGCCCGACTTGACCCCAGCGTCGACTGGGCCTGCTGGGGCAGGGCTCGCACGTGGTCGCAGAGCAGCGCGCGCGCGCGCGCCCTGCGCCCAAGGCTGCAGCATCGGCGAAGGGGGGGCGCTTTGCGCTGCAGAGCTGCAGTCGGCCCGTACCAGAAGGCTGCGCGATAAGGATGCAAGGGCCTTGGACGCCCACTTCGCAGCTTCCTGAGCGGGGCGCGGCCAACGAACGTGGCCGAGGATGGGCCGAGGAGCTAAGGATGCAAGGGCATCCTTGGGAAAGACGCTAATCCTCACAGTGCGGATCAAGCGTGTGCCGAGGCCATGCGCCTGGCGGCGGGGCCGGAACGGGCTGCATTTTTCAGCAGATTTCGTACCGCCCCCTTTCCCTACCCGCCCTCCCCCTTCGTCCGACCCGAGAGGGGGCTGCAGCTGTCCTTGAATGCGCTGGGTCCCACCGGAGGCCTTTCTTGCTGTTCTCACCTTGTCGCCTTGAGCTCGACAACAAGGTGTTCAGACGGCACTCCAGGACGTGGACACCAGGCGTGCGGCACCGTGACGGCCGAGAACGTATGAAGATCACCACGGCAGCGTCCAGGCACACGGGGAACGGTGGGCCACGGGCCGACCCGGCACGTGCACACGAAACGAAAATGGCTCCCAGCAGGTGCTGCGACACGCTGCTCCTCCAACCCGTGAAGAGAGACACGCCCTCGGCGTGCTCGAGAGAACATCAGGTGCCCCCGGCCGCGGGCGAGGCCAGGGCGTTCGGTCGCTCAGCGGCCTCTCGGGGGTGGCCCGCGCCTCGGGCCCTGCGGTCCATCCGCAGCCGCGGCCCCGGGGACGGGGCAACGGGCCCGCGAACGAAACGCACGAAGTCGGGGGGCGGGATGGAGGAGGAGAGAGCCCTGGCCTGCCAACTACCGCGAGGCCGAGGAGCCAGAGAGGGGCGAGTCGAGGCACCCTCTGCTCGAACTCGGCCCCCTGGGACCCCTCCTGGGGTGTGTCGTTGGCGCAAGACAGATCCGTGTCCGCGGCCTCGCGGGCGGGGCCCTTTGGGGCCGCGACCCCGCGGATACGGAACGAGTCTTCGCGGGTGTCCCGCGCGGAACCGAGCTGTGCCACTGCGTATCCGCGGGATCCCGCCCCGGAATCCAGACCGCGAGGGCGTGGAGACGGCTATGTTCGGCGCTCGTGAGTCAGGCGCGCCAGCTTTCCGAGCGGCGTCCCGCCGTGGCGACGAAGGACCCCCCCCCCCCGAAGGAAACACCGCTGTCTCAAATCGCCCTCCGCTGACAGGGAGGCGCAGGGTGGGAGCTGCAGGGGTCGAGGGGAACGGGGAGGATGCAGGGCAACGCAAGGACACCGCTACTGCTACTCCACGGGCCTCCCCTGGGGTGTGCCCTGGCCCGCATCTCGAGACGCATGCCGTGGCGGCGAGGGGCTCCTAGGAGACGCACAAGGAGAAAACGAAGGAGGTGGAAGAAGAAACCACGGCATGCACAGAAACCCTTGGCGCTCCGCGCGGACTTCTCGGCTCGCGGCGAGGGGCCCTGCTCGGTGCGAGAGGGCCACGCGCCAGCAGACCGCGCGGAGAGGCGGCCAGCCTGAGAGGTGCTTCGATCCGCCAGCAAGGGGACCGAACCCACCGCCGACGCACTCCGACGCACCTCTGCGCCGGGTATTTCTCTGGCGCTCGGAACTCTTTCTGGTGATCCTCCTCCTCCTCCTCCTCCTCCTCCTCCTCCTCCTCCTCCTCCTCCTCCCTCCTGCTCCTCCTCCTCCTCCTCCTCCTCCTCCTCCTCCTCCTCCTCCTCCTCTGCGCCGGATTCCCCCCCCTTGCCCTGGCGCGCGGAGCGCGCCACCGGGGCGGCGCGCGGAGCGCGCCGGGGAGCGGCGCGGGAGGCGCCGCCAGGGGCGGGGGGCCCCAGCGCGGATCCACGAGATCCGCGCGGAGCGCCCCAGGTTAGGTCGGGCGTGTCCCCCTACAGGGGAATTGTGTGCGAAAAACTAAAAAGTTCCACTAAGGTTCCACGAAAGTTCCACTAAAGTTCAAAAAAAGTTCTAATTTTGGGCGAAAGCCCAAGTTAGGTCGGGCCTGTCCCCCTACAGGGGAATTGTGGGCGAAAAACGAAGAGTTCCAAAAAATACGTACACATGGTAGCAACACCGTCCACGTACTATGTTTCACCATTTTCGACTATTCCACCTGTAGAGGGACAGGCCTTGGCTTAAGCGAAAAGCTTATGTTTATGCCGTTGTTCTTCTTCGAGGAAGGGCAGCGGTATCAGCACCCTCTTCTCATAGCAGTCAGCCCTCTGGCCAGCACTTCGCGACGAATGCCCCGCCGTGGCGGCAAATGGGCTCCCAGGAGGCCCACAACGAAACAAACAACGAAGGAAGGGCAGCGGTATCGGTAGACCCTCTCTCCTCCGAAGACGAAAAAAAACACATACACATAAACTTTTGGCGCTCCGCGCAGATTTCTTGGATTCGCCTCCCGGGCGGCGCCGGAGGCGCCGCCAGGGGGGCCCAGGCGCGGATTCAAGAAATCCGCGCGGAGCGCCAAAATAAAGGGAAATTAGGACACACAAATAAATACACACAAATAAAAATAGTCCCCATATTTTCCCATATTTTCTGGGTTTTTGTCTTCCCCCCCAATTCCAATATTTTCCCATATTTTCCGGGGAATCGAGGATTAATTGTGTCTGTGTGTTTTTTTCCCTCCTGACAACAGTTAACGCTTATGGGGTTTTCATCCTTCTTCGAGTATCGGTATACCCTCTCTCCTCCGCGGGTGGAGAGAGAGAGAGAGAGAGAGGGAGGGAGAGAGAGAGAGAGAGAGAGAGAGAGGGAGAGGCAGAGCCAACCTTCTCGCCGACACCAGTCCCGCACTGTCTGGCCGCGGCTCGCCGCGGCTGCCGGGGCGGGACGGCGGCTCGCAGGAGGGCGACGGAAGCGGTGCACAGCCTCTGCTCCCTGGGCAGGCCTAGACTTGGCGGCGGAGGGGGGGGAGGCTCCTAAGACTCGGGGGCGCGCAAGCATGGATTCACGATCCATGGATTTGGCGCGCGGTCGCCAAATCCATGGATCGGGGGAGGTGCGCTCCCCAACATGCGGCCGGTGTCGCCCCGCTCGGCGGCGGAAGTCCGCGATTCCCCATGGAAGCGGGACCCGTCGCTAATCCACGCTCCCGGAATCCATGTTTGCAATGGCCTGTTAGAAGCACCCCTGCTTCTCAGGAGGCGCGGGCCCTTGTCTGTAGTTGTAGGGCCCGCGCCTTCTAAGAAGCAGCCTCCTTCTAGGAAGCCTTCCACCCTCCCCCTATAATTACTCCTCTCCTGCGCGTGGCCGACGTCCTGATCTCAGTTGCTGCATATACGTATGCATGTATGTATGTATGGATGGATGGATGTATGTCTGTATGTATGTATGTTCGTATGCATGCATGCATTCATGTATGTATGTCTGTAGGTATGGTTGTCAATGTGTATGCATGTATGTGTCTGTATGTATGTATGTACGTACGTCTGCATGCATGCATGCATGCATGCATGCATGCATGCATGTATGTATGTATGTATGTATGTATGTATGTATGTGTGTATGTATGTATGTATGTATGTATGTATGTATGTATATATGTATGTATGTATGTATGTGTGTATGTATGTATGTATGTATGTATGTATGTATGTATGTATGTATGTATGTATGTATGTATGTATGTATGTATGTATATGCATATGCATAGGTATATGTTTATGTATATGTATATGTATATGTATATGTGTATGTGTATGCGTATATGTAGATGTATGTATGTATGCATGCATGCATGCATGCATGCATGTATGTATGTATGTATGTATGTATGTATGTCCGTATGTATGTATGCATGCATGCATGTATGCATGTATGCATGTCTGAGAGAACGCGTTTCACGGGCGCACACGGGCGCGTTTCGAACCGGGGGGTGCCCCCCCCCCTCCCAACACTCGGCACCATCGATCAGAACCAGGGGGACTCCCCTCCCCCCTAACCCCCCCACTCCCGAATTCCCTCCCCCCTCCCAAAGGGAGGGGGGTTCCAAAACCCCCCCCTGGCGCCGGCGCTGCCGGCCGCCGCAGCGCCAACGCAGCGACGATGACCAGAGAGGGCCCAGGAGGGGAGGGGGGGTTCAAACCCCCCGCGCGCCCGCGCCGGCGCTGGCGCCGGCGCTGGCGGCAGCCAGCAGCGCCGACGGCGGGGACGTAGCGACTTGGACTAGAGAGGGCCCAGACACCAACACAAATCGCCAGATCGAGCCCTCGCATGCTCCTCAGACGCCCCCGAGACCCTTCTGACGAGACCTCAAGAGGCATCCTAAGGAACTCTGACCCTTTGCCAAAACACAATGGCGGGAAAAGCCGAAGGCCACAACACCACCACCACCACCACCGCCACCACAGACCACCATACCACCACCACCACCACCACAACCACCACCACCACAACCCACCATCACCACAACCACCACCATCACCACAAACCACCTCACCATCACCACCGACAACACCAAAAACGCCACCACCACCAGCACCACCACAACCCACCACAACCCACCACAACCACCACCACAGAACACAACACCATGACCACCACCATCACAAACACCGCCACAACCACCACCATCACCACAACCCTCCACCAACACCACCACCACAAACCACGCCACCACCACAACCACCACCACCACCACCACCACCACCACCCATCACCCACCACCCACCACCCACCACCAGCACCACTACCAGCAGCAGCAACACCACCACCACCACCAACAACACCACAGCCCAACACAACCACCACCACCACGACAAACCACTACGCCACCACCACCACCACCGCCGCCACCACGACCACCACCATCACCACTTCAACCCACCACCACCGCCACCACTAAACCACCACACAACCACCACCACCACAGCCACCACCACCACCACAACAGCTCACCACCACCACCACCAGTACAACAACCCATCACCACTACCACCACCATCACCACAATCTACCACACCACCACCACCACCACCACCGCCACAACCAGCACCACTACTACCAGCAGCACAACCCAGCACCACCACCACCACCACCACAACCACCTCAAACCACCTCACCACCACCAGCACCACCGCCACTACCACCACCACCAGCACTCCCGCCGCCGCCGCCAGCCGCCGCCAACGCCGGCGCCAGCCCGCGGAGAGGGAGAGAGGAGAAGTAGGGGAGAGGGGGGAGGGTACGGTTCCCCCCCCCTCCAAGCGACCACATAACGCGCTCTTTCGAATGTATGTATGTATGTATGTATGTGTGTATGAATGTACGTACGTATGTATGTATGCGTATGTATGTGTATGCACGTATGTATGTATGTGTGTGTATGTGTGTATGTATGTATGGATGTATGCATGCATGTATGTATGTATGTGTGCATGTGTCTGCGTGCAGTTATGTATGTATGTATATGTGAATGGGTGGATGTGTGTATGTATGGATGTATGCATGTATGTATGTATGTGGGTATATATGTATATGTATGCGTGTGTGCATGTGTGTGTATGTGTGTATGTATAGATGTATGTATGTATGTATGCATGTGTGCATGCATGTATGTATGGACGTACACATGTATGTGTACATGTAGATGTGTATATCTGATTGTATGCATGTATGTATGTTTGTATGTATGCATGCATGCATGAACGCATGCATGCATACATGCATGCATGCATGTATGTGTATATGTAATTCGAGTTGTATGTGTGTCTGCGTGCATGCATGCATGTATGTGTGCATGTATGTATGTGTGTGTATGCATGTTTGTATGTATGTACGTACGTACGTACGTATGTATGCATGTATGTATGTATGTATGCATGCATGCATGCATGCATGCATGCATGCATGCGTATGTACGTACGTATGTATGTATGTATGTATGTATGTATGTATGTATGTATGTATGTATGTATGTAGCTGTGTATGTGTATACAACCATGTAATTGTGTACGCTTGTGTGCGTGGCTATATGTATGTATACATGTATGCCGTTATGATTTCATGTCTATATGTATGCATATATGTATGCGTGTATGTATGTACGTATGTTTGCATGTATGTATGTATGTATGTAAATATGCATGCATGCATGCATGCATGCATGCATGCATGCATGCATGTATGTATGTATGTATGTATGTATGTATGTATGTATGTATCGATGTGTGTATGTGTGTATGTGTGTATGTGTGTATTGATGCATCTTCATATATGTGTATATGCCGCGCCCTCCTGGCCAGGCCCCGAGGGCGTGCATACACGCAGCAGCTCCTGCAGCTCACGACGGGCCTGGCCAAAGGGAGCAGTGGCTGTGCACAGAGGCTGGCGCCCGATCACAGGAGGCAGGACACCGCTGCGGCGAAGGCCAGGCCGCCCATGAACCCGAGGTACACCGCGAGGCTCATGGCGCCGGCGGTGTCGCTCTTCTGGGTGGCGGGCACAGCCTCCAGGGCGACGACGGTGCTCCAGCTGCCCCCGAGGGCGCCCGCGGACACGAAGGGCACCCACACGACGGCAGGAGAGCAGAAGGCAGCACGAGCACGGGCGCACAGCCATCCCGGGCGTGGGGCAACTTTTTCACGGAGCGTTTTTTCGCCCGCTTTCAGCCCCTGAGACCCTCACAGATCGAACCGGCTCGGAAAATCAGGCACGTATATTGGGCCTAGAGGGCTCTGGTCGCGATCTGCTCGTGGTGCTGGGGCTCTTTCGCAACGTCGGCTCTCAATCAGGGAGCGCTATGCAAGGCACGACGGGGCTCTTTCGGCCACGGCGAGCCTCGGCCAAGAGCAAGTTTCCAGGCCATGAGTCGGCGGTGAGCGAGGGGGGGGAAGTGAGAAGGAGAAGGCCGTCTCAAAAGGCTCGGAAGTCCCCCAGCCTTCTGAGAAGTTTTCTAAACCTGCCCCGAAGACTCAGAAAACCTCTCAGACGGTGCGAGGGTTTCTGAGAAGTCCCGCCGCCATCTGAGAAGGCCTTCTCCTTCTCTCATTTCCCCCCTCGCTCGCCGCCGAACGAGGATGAGGATGAGGATGAGGAGGAGGAGGAAGAGGAGGAGGAGGAGGAGGAAGAGGGAGGAGGAGGAGGAGGAGGAGGAGGAGAAGGGGGAGGTGGAGGAGGAGGAGAGAGGAGGAGGAGGAGGAGGAGGAGAGGAGAAGGGAGGAGGAGGAGGAGGAGGAGGAGGAGGAGGAGGAGGAGGGGAGGAGGAGGAGGAGGAGGAGGAGGAGGAGGAGGAGGAGGAGGAAGAGGAGGAGGAGCCGAAGAACGGCCTAGAATGAGCCCTCCCCGAGCCCAGAGCGGTCCTGCTTCCCGCGTCTTCGCCGGAAACTCCCGAGGCCCCGAGGGCAGCTCGCCTGGGCTGGCTCGGGGCCGCCCCCTCCTCCGAGCGCGCCCGGCGGCGCCTCGTGGGACGGGGGCGAGGCATGGGGGCCCGCGCTGGCCCCCCAGAAGCCCGCGCGGGCCTCCGAGCGGCCCCGGCCAGGAGCTCTGCTGCTCCGGAGCGTGCCGCGGCGGCGGCCCCGGCGGCACGCCGTGCCCTGCGAGCGGCCAGCGTGTCGCTCCGCTCCGCTGCGGGGGGGCTGGCGGCGAGCGAAGGGGGGAAGTGAGGAGAAGGTAGCTACCTAGCTTCTCACTTCCGAGCCCTCTGAGGAGGCCCCAGGGCTTCCTCAGAGGGCTCGGAAGTCCCCCCAGCCTTCTGACGAGTTTGCTGAGCCTTCCGGGGGGGAAGCTTGCCGCGAGGAAGCCCCCGGGCCTCCTGAGACGTTGTCCGGGCCTTCCAAGAAGTCCCCCGGCCGCCGAGGGGAGGCTTGGCAGTGCTCGGAGCGTTGATATGCCTGAGGACTGCTGGGTGCGGTCGCTGTGCGGCGCCGCCACGCGTGGCGGGCGCGACATGCGAAGCCAACCCAGACATTCGCGGTCGTGCTTTTTCAACTAGAGGCCTCCTAGGTGGGGTCGGAGTGGATGGGGTCGGAGGAACGCGCCGCATCGCCAATGCATCGACGATGTATCGCCGACGCATCGCCGACGTCGGCGGTGTATCGGCAACGCCTGCGTGGAGAAATTCGGGCTCCGCATGGAAACGGGACCCGTCGCTGATCCGCGCCCCCCCCACCCATGCTTCGGGCGCCCGAGTTATCCGGGGTAACTCGGGTCCAGGGTAACTCGGGTTTGGATTCCCGAAAAACGAACCCGAGTTAGCCCTGACCCGAGTTACCCCTGATGATGTGGGGCTCTGGGCGCCCGAATTATCCGGGGTAACCCAGGTCCGGGGTAACTCGGGTTCGGATTCCCGAAAAACGAACCCGAGGTAACCCTGACCCGAGTTACCCCTGATGATTCGGGGCTCTGAATGCTTACGATCCCTGGACCCGTGCCCGTGCAGCTCTCCGCCCTCTCCGGAGGAAAAAGGCCGCCCTCGAGAGCCACGGCTCGGGCCGCAGGGCCTCCTGCACGAGCAGGCCCCAGGCGGGCACGCGGCACAGCTGCAGCAGCACGTTGAGCGCCAGGTGCAGCCTCAGGCGCCGCGGGTGCGGCACGGCGTAGAAGGCGCTGCGGCCGAGGAAGTCCGAGAGCAGCTTGGAGAGGACGATCTGCTGCCCGAGCCCATGGTTAGAGGAAGGAACCACGGCACAACCAGAGACTTTCTCGGATCGTCGCTGGGAGCCCCCAGCGGCGCCTCCGGCGCCGCCCCTGGCGTGCTCCGCGCGCCAGGGAAGAGGGTCCAGCGTGGATCCAAGAGATTCGTGCGGGCGGACCTCCGAAAGTTTATGATTACGCGGATTCGGGGGAAACCAAAACGATCCCGATGCCGGTGCGTCCTGACCAGAATCTCGAAGCGAATCCAGCTGTGGCGACGAGGGCCTCCCCCCACGAAGTCATTAAACGCCGAATTCGCGAGGGAAGGGTAGCGACATCGGTGCCATTTCCTCCTCTGAGATTTTTTGTTCCTTCCTCTGCTAGTCCGCGTGCGCCAGCCTGTCTGCAAGGGGCGTGAGGGACATGTTCTGCGCCACGGCGGCCCACTGGCACGCCCGGATGGCCAGCGCGAAGGCCCGGGAGGGCTCGGGGGAATCTCCGGCGGAGGCGCCGGCGCCGCAGGACCGCTGCTCGATGAGCTCGCCGTGGTGCTCGTAGGCGGCGTCCAGGATGCCCGCGCGCTGGCTCCAGTGGTAGAGGGCGCAGGGGACGACCGCGATGGACACTGCGCCCCCGAAGTACGAAGACACGGCTGCGTCGGAGCACCCGGGGGCGAAGCGGAAGATGCCGGCGGCGACGTTCACGTACGCGCCAGAGGCCGTCTGGCCGAGGTAGAACCAGCCCGTGAGCATGGGAGACAGCGTCCCGAAAAACTGCGAAGGCAGAGGCGCGAAAAGCTGCATAAGCATGACCTTGCCAAGGGCGTCCTAGATAGGGTCCGAGTTCAGTCGGGCCGCTGAAAGAAGGAACGGTAAATAAGGAACGAATCCCCTTCGTGGCCCTGTAAGCGCCTCCGTGCCCCAGGAGGGCAAGAGGAACAGCACTGGAGGAACCTAAGGAACATCGAGCCCCTTCCGAACCCAAACTGTTCCTTATTTCAGCGTCTTGACTGTTGAGGGGGTCGGAGGATCGCGTTGCATCGCCGATCTGTCGCCGATGCATCGGAGGTGCATCGCCGAGGCATCGGCGACGTCGGCAGTACACCGGTGACGCCCGCGCGTGGAACATCGGGCTCCACATCGAGCCGCATCGGCGATGCATTGGCGATGGGGAATGATCCTTCGACCTCATCTACTCGGACCCCGTCTGGAAGGCCTACTTACACGCCGGTCGGAAGAAGTAGGTAGAACCATGAAGTAGGACGGCGTTGGAAATAGATTGGGCTCCCGCCCGCCCCCTTCAGAGGAGGGAAAAGGGAACCCGCTCGACTCTTGAAGCAAGGAGGCACCTAAAGTAGACTGGGATTTGGGCATCCAAAGCAGCGACCGATGGGTAGACTTCGGGAAGTCCCACAAGGGATGTCTTGGACCGGCGCTGGACCAACTCCCCTCGCCCCTCTCCTGGCGCGCGAAGCGCGCCAGAAGCAGCGCAGGAGGCGCCTCCAGGGGGCGTCGAGCGACCACCCACGAAATCCGCACGGACCTCCAAAAATTCCGTGGGTGGAAGAAACGCCCTCTGGTGAACACCATGGGGGGCACAGGGGGGCACAAACGACTCGGCACGAATTCCACGATCCCGCGTCATTTCCAGCACTCCATGCTGTTTGTCTTCCCCTCCGTTCCTCCTATATCTTCCCCACACATTCCCACGGGCGTCAACGTCTGTGTGCGGTTGTGCCTGCTGTTCCGTCCTGAGCAGCCCCATCCAGAAAAGCACCGGTACTGTCAAAACGTAAATTGAGGAGGGATGGTAAGGACGCAAGACCCTTAGAGCCCGAAGTTCGGATTCAAAAAATCCGTGCGGAGCGCCAACAGTCTGTTTATGGCGTTTTGGTTTCGGGTCCATTCTGTGTGCGTGGTTCGGCTTCGCGCGCCCGTGCTTCGCGGGAGCCAGGATTCTCCTCGAGGGCCCTCGCCGAGAAAACAGATGCACGCGCCCGACCTGCGCGACCCCTCTCCGAGCCTTCGCGCCCCATGATGCGCAACGCGCGGTCCACTTCGAGCCCCCGCACTCTCGCGTCGCCTTTCCTGGACAAGGGCAGCTCTCCAATCCAGACCGCGACGGGCGATGCGGGAATATCCTCGCGCCCCGGCGGGTGTCCTAGGGCCCTGGCATCCGCCAATGCTTTTTCCCCGGCAATCCCGCGCTGGGTTTTTGTTCTGCATCAGCAGCGCCCCGCGTCTTCCTCCTTCCTCCTCCCCCTACTCCTCCCTCCACCTCCTCCTCGTGATTGTCATCAGCATCAGCATCAGCATCATTATCAGCACCAGCATCATCACCACCACCATCACCATCATCAGCATCAGCGTGAGCATGAGCATCATCATCATCAGCAGCATCATCGGCATCATCATCACTACCAACATCATCATCACCACCACCATCATCAACATCGTTATCATCATCACCCTTATCAGAATCAACATCCACGTCCGCACCCGCATCCACATCATCACCACCACCACCATCATCATCATCATCATCATCATCATCATTGTTACCGTCATCATCAAGACCATCATCTTCATCAGCATCAGATCCATCATCAGCATAAGTATCATCATCAACATCGTTATCATCATCACCTCAATCAACATCACAATCATCACCATCATCACTACCATCACCATCATCACCAGCAACACCACCACCATTATCAACATCACCACCCACCACCACCACCACCACCATCAACCTCATCAGCATCATCATCACCATCACCACAATCAGCATGCGCATCATCGTAATCTTATTATAAGCAGCATAATACACATCATACTCATCATCAGCATTGTCCTCCCACTCCTCCTCATCACCATCGCCACCATCATCCTACCCATCATCAGCATCAGCAGCAGCAACAACAGCATCATTGTCATCAGCATCATCAGCAGCAGCATCATCAATCAATCAACCAATCAATCACTATCACCATCACCCCATCATCACCATCACCATCATCATGACCATCCTCATCATCACATCATCATCAGCATCATCATCAATACCAACATCACCATCATAATCACCATCACCATCACCATCATCATCATCACCATCACCATCACCATCACCATCACCATCACCATCACCATCACCATCACCATCACCATCACCATCACCATCATCATCATCATCATCATCATCATCATCATCATCATCATCATCATCATCATCATCCACTCAAGGTCCCACTGTCAGGGTTCGCATGCGCCGCCGCGCCCAATCTTGGTACACCCCTCACACGCTCTGTGAGCTCCTCCGAAAGCGTCAGTGGGACGGTTCGCATGGCGCCGCCGCACCAAAACTAGCACACCCGTCACACGCTTCGTGGCCCCATAGGGAGCTCCACCGAAGGCCCCAGCGAGAAGGTTCGCATGGCACAGCCGCATCCATTTCGGCACACCCCTCACACGCTTCGTGGCCCCATAGGGAGCTCCATCGAAGGACCCAGTTTGAGGGTTCGCATGGCGCCGCCGCGCCCATTTCGGCACACCCCTCACACGCTTCGTGGCCCCATAGGGAGCTCCACCGACGGTCCCAGTGTGAGGGTTCACATTGAGCTGTCGCGCCCATTTCGGCATACCCCTCACACGGTTCGCGGCCCCCATCCTTCGCCTCATCTGCCTCGCGACAGTCGCAGTTACGGATTGTTGGTCCTTCGCCAGGAGAAGTGTTTTCCGAAGTCGTGACCCAAGAGGTCCCCACCCCCTCCGGGCCAGTTTGCCCTACATCCATGTTTGATTGTCCCAGGGCCCGATTATCCCCGGAGTCCCCGATCGAGGAAACAACGCCAGTTCAAAAAAAATCACGTCACTGAAAATCTGGGTTCAGACCCCCGACGTCAGGATTTTTGTCATGGCCTGTACCCCCAAAGAGGTCTCGACCGGCTCCCTGGGACCAGCTTTTCCGCCGGAGTCGTTCTCTGATGGCCCCAGGGCCCAGCGAGGGCCCCCGGATGCCGAACATAGCGGAAAACCCTCCGTCAGGAAAATTTTTTGCCCGATCCGAGCACGCCTGGACTAGCGCAATGTTGGCCCCAGAGTTACAAAGGGATCGGGTCGGGCGAAAGGGGGGGATAGCAAAGGGGGGGTTTGAGAATCAGCTCACGTAGCTGATTTTCCCGGCGCCTCCCGGCGCCGGAGGCGGCCATGTATCGAGGAATGGGCCCCTCGGTGAGGCCGAAACCAGCTGCATGCAGCAAATTTCGTAACCCCCCCTTTCCCAATCCCCCCCTTTCGCCCGGCCCGAAGGGAGGACCCCCCAGTCTCCGGCGCTCTCTGGAACATTTCAACCTCCTTGGCCCGACCCCCCAAAAAATAACCGCTGGGGCTGCCCCACTCCCAGACGTCCGATGTCTGTGTTTTTCAATGCACTCCCCAATGCCAGTCTTCAATCCTGACTCACCTTTTGACGGCCCCGCGGTGCCCGCCGAGGGCCCACCCCCCAGACGTCGACCACTATATAATCAAATGCCGTCTGGATGTTTGTCAACACGCGGAAAGTCTGGGTTGTGCTGCTGTTCGCCCCTGGGTAGGATCCGGGGTTGGCGACCCCAGCTTCTCGCGTCATTCTCCCCTGGGGCCCCCTGGGGACACCTCGGGCCAGGGGCACTCCCAGCAGCCCCGGGAGAGGGCCCCTGGAGGCTGAAAACTGTGCAGGACACGCCCTCTCTGGACTCTGCCAGCGCGTTGGACATCTGAAATTCGGTCGGGCATGTCCTCCTACAGGCGGAGATTGTAAGAAAACTAGCAAGAGTCACCAAACAAAAGATGACAGTAGAAGAATCGTCCCGAGACTATGTTTGGACTGTTCTTGAATATTCCTCCTGTGGAAGGACATGCCCGACTTAAGTCTGCAGTTGTGTTAGGTCGGGCCTGTCCCCCTACAGGGGTATTTTTGGCAAACAATCAAGAATACTTTAAACACAAAAAACTAAACTATTAAAAACATAACCCAAACAGCGTCCCCAGGCTTTTCTTCAATAAGAACACTATTTTGGAATACTCCTCCTGTAGAGGGACAGGGCCGACTGAAGTCTGCACTGTGTGCTGCCGTTCGCCCCTCGCGAGGAGGAGTTTGCCAGGGCCCCTGTCAGCAGCCCGACGCCGGCCCCCAGGCCCAGCACCAGGGTGCGCTGGAGGCCGCCCGCGCCGCGCAGGAGGCCCAGGCACGCGACGAGCGCCGCGGCCGCCAGGAGCACGCCAGCCAGGCGCACCTCGGGGGCAACGCCGCTACGGGGGGTCCTCCTCCTCCCTCCTCCTCCCTCCTCCTCCCTCCTGCTCCTCCTCCCTCCTGCTCCTCCTCCTCCTCCTCCCTCCTGCTCCTCCTCCTCCTCCTCCTCCTCCACCACCTCCTCCTCCACCCCCTCATCCTCTTCCGCCTCCGTCCGAGACCCAGGGGGGGGGGAAGGAAGCTGGCCCCGAGGTTTCTTCTTCGCCCGTTTCGGGCCCATCGGGGCCCTCTGCGGGCCCCGGGACTGTCAGAAAACGGTTCGGGGCGAAGGCCTCGTCCGACGGGGAAGGCCCCGGGGCCCAAGACCCGTTTCCCGCAGGACCCGCCTCCCCCGTCCTGAGGATAGCGCGAGCCCAACCACAGGCCGCGCGCCCAACGTGTAGCGCTGCCAACTCTTGGCGGCGCGCACCAGGGGGTAGGGGGTAAGCGGGAGGGAGGGAGGCTTCTCAGAAGGAGGCTGCTTCTCAGAAGGCGCCAGCCCCGCATCTACACCCTGCGAAATGCTTAAGAAATCATGGGTTAAGAAATTCATAGTCTCAGAAATTGAATAAAACCCAAAACTTCTATCAAAATCTTGGGATTTACATTGACAAGTTAAGAATAATCGAGACTCTGGACGAAAACTTAGGTTTTC